CGAATCTTACCCCTTTAAAGAATAATATCTATTTTTTCACTTTAATTCAAATTTGGACACCTAATTCATCATTTAAATATTTAATCAACCAATTCATTTAAGTTAGGTCAATCAAGCCAATTAACCTAAACTTCTTGATTATGGCTGAAAGTTCCATCTAGGGTAACTATCGTTAATTTTTCATTTTAACACAATTCACACAAACCAGGTTAGGCTGAAATCTTCTAACAATAATATCATAACTTTAGTCCATCAATTCATTTAAATTAATCCCCCAAACATACCAATCCAAGCATTAAGAACATAATGTCATCACCAATTCATCCAAATCAATCAACTTCATAACAAATTTAATAATTGAATCATAAATTCATAACCATTAAAGCATCAAATAATTCATAATTAAACATCAAAATAACCTATTCTTGTGGTGTAGTGTAGACTACACTTACCCCACTTGAAGATAGATAAATCCCTCTCCTTTTTAGCTTGCACTTCTTCCTCCTCTTCCTTCTCCATACTTTTGGCCTAAATAGTGATTTTTCCTCCTTCTCTATTCAACTCTCCTAGATGGTTTAAGTGGATTTTAAGATGCATTTAGGGTGGTTTAGATGGTTTTGATGGTGGTTTGGTGGGATTCTCCTTGGATGAACTTGATTTTCTTTAGTGTTTCCTTAAGGTTTCAATTTCTATAACCTTTCTTCCTTTCCATCTTGCCAAATTTATTTGGCAAGAATTTCCTTTCCCTAGGATTAATCCAAGCGTTATACACTTGGTTTCATCCTAATTCATGGCATTTAATGTCTTTCTCTGGATTTTTCTTCTTTCTTCTTTTTTCTTCTACTTGTTCCTTGATTTTTCTCTAGAGTTTTCTTCCCTTTTTCGCTGATTTACCTAGCCCCCTTTTTCTCTGTATTTTCTAGCCAAATTTTGCTAGAATTAGCCTCCCAAATTGAATTAATTCATCCTCTAAATCACTAAAATTTGCATTTTAGTCCTTAAACTTTTAATTGATGCAATCAATCACTTCAATTTTAGTCTTCAAACTTTTAATTTTCTACAATCAAGCCCTTATTCTAAACTTTTCTAAATTTTATAATGGTCACTTAAGTTTGCTAATTATTTTAGTCAAGTACTCAAACTTTTAATTGTTATGATTACACCCCTAAGGTTTTGCAATTACACCCCTAATTTATTACATGGCCATAACAATTAATATCTTAAAACCTCTAATTAATTTATTCACCTTTAAATTAATTCATTCATCTTTCATAATAACTGTGCATGCATTAATTAGTTTATATATGCAAGTATGAATTATTAATCCTTACTTTAAATAAATATTCATTTATTAAATAAATAAATTTTATACAAGCATATATATATATATATATAAGGAGATCTTTAGGTTGAGGATATTACATTCTTCCCTCCTTACAAAAATTTCATTCTTGAAATTCCTTAATTGAATAATTCCGAATACTTAGTTTCCATTTCTTCCTCTCATTCCCATATTGCCTCTTCTATATTATGATTCCTCTATAATATCTTTACCAAAGGAATCTGTTTATTTCTTAATTGTGTTACTTCCCGATTCAATAATTCTAGTCCTTCTTGCTAACTTAAATCTAATTGGAGGTCTAGTGGCTCGTCTCATAAAATGTGACTTGAGTCCTCTACTTAATTGATGTCCTATTTACCAAAGATTCATGCTAATTTTGTATCACATTAATTTCTTGATGATCATAAACTTTGTACTTATAGCTTGTAAATAGGGGTGAGCATTATTCGGTTAAAATCGAAAATCGAACCGAATCGAACCAACAATTTTGGTCTCAATTCGATTCGATTTTTTAAAAAAATTGAAAAAAAAAACCAAAACCGAAAACTGAAATTATTTTGGTTCGGTTTGGTTTTTTTTTCGAATTTGGTTTCCACCGAAAACGAGGTTTAGTTTTTTTTTTTTTTTTAACACATACCCAAGCTCTTTTTTTAAAAAATAAAATAAAATAAAATAAAAGAGGCACTCGTAGGTTTAACTAAAAGAACAATAGCTTTAATGATTATATGATATTGACTTACAAACAAATAAAAAAAAGATTGTGATAAAGTAATTTTTTATAAATACACAAATTTATGTGTGGGTGAATCCTAAAACCTCGGGTGAAAAATTGTCTCCTTGTTTTCAAATTGGCACAAAAATATCTCCTAAAAAAATTGACTCAAAGCCATTGCATTTATGATAGTACTATAGTAGTATTAATAACAACTAACAATAATAATTTTTTTTCACTCTTTTTATGGTTATACTAAACATAAATTAAAAATTGAATTTTTCAGATTATCTATTCAACAATAAAATATGCACAAAATAAGTAGATTAAAAAGAATATAAAAAATTAATAAAAAAACCAATTATAGCGTGATTGAAAAAATAATGAGAAGCCCGACCAATCTAGTTTATAATATAAATAGAACCAAATTTAGTATAGAATAATAATAATAATAATCTTACATAATTTTCTTATAAAATCAAATGTGAAATATACAATCTTTGATTATGCAAGTTTGATATTTTTTTTAAAAGCAAAATAATTCGATTTTTAGAAGAAGAAAAAAATCGGTTTTTAATCGAAAACTAAAAACCGAACCGAAAAATTTGGTTTTTTAATCGAAAACCAAATCTCAATTCGGTTCGATTTTAATTTTTGTTTTAACCACTTCGATTAACCAAAAATCGAACAAAAAATATCGAACCCGAATCGAAAAATCGAATGATCACCCCTACTTGTAAATGATATGAACTCACAAATTCTTTAATTCTTGTAAATGATTTTCCTTTTACTAGGTTGAAAAGGCTAATTTGGTCATGATGCAAAAAATTTAGCTTAAGAACCTAGCTAGCCCAATAAAGAAATATAGAAAATTAGATGAAGTCATTAGTGGTTGGTTCAATAGAACACAAATATTTGCTTACAAGATGAAGTGTTTATTAAGTGCTAATAATATCTATCATTTTCTATCGATCTTAAACTTCCGCGTAAGCCGTGAAAAAGGAAAAAATTGAGACAATAACATGCATTAAAATTCGTGTTTGTGGCTTTCTCAGTTAAATGTAAAAATGAAATTAAGCTAAGAGTATGAAATTTTTATTTAAAAAAAATTAGGATAAGTTATATTAATCTTTAAGTTGCGGTAGTTATTTTTCGAGTATTTCTTTTTTAAATTGTGAGATTTTTTAAAAGATTTTTGTCAAACTTTCAATTTTTTTTAATCAAATTCTTGCGATTCCATGATATCTGAAATGAGTAATATAATTTAACAAAAAAAAAAATGATTTATACTTTTATCTTTTCTTATTTTGAACCAATCAGGCTGGCAAGCAAATGTGAATAAAAGGTATGGTTTCTCGAGATAAGAAAATGTTGGGTGAGGGAAAGGATCATGATGCCTCTTGAAAAAATATTAAAAAAAAATAAAAAATAAAAAAAAAGACAAAATTTCGTAGATTTAAATATATTATTTCGCCTGATGTCAAAAAAGTTGTTAAAGACTTAATTTACTCTTTTGCGGTTGCATCTTGCTCGTGACTTGGTAGCATGCATGGTTGGAGACAGGTAGAGCTTAAAATGGATTCAAATTAAGGTCATTGTGCATCTGTTTCTTTTATGTAACCTTCCTTTATTTAAATAAAGAACTCATTCAGTTTCTTCCCCAAGATTGAGAGGTTTGAACTCGCCATATCTAAAGGGAAGAAAATCATTGTTCGTTAGCTAAACAGGGTTTTTAATTCCTTGATTAGACTGCATTTTCTTTATTCCTCTTCTATAGGAATTCATCATATTTTGTATCATGACTCTGTTGGAGTGACTATTTCCGGACAACGCGATCTGCAGTTGTTTTTGTTTCTGGGGTTTTGGCCCCTTGTCCTACCCAAAAAAAATGTTTCCGCAATGTCAAACGTGTGTGTCTGTCTAATCTAGAAATCCTGGCAAAGCCTAATCTGGACTAAAATCAGCTTCAAAAGGCCCATTTCCTTTATATAACCCAATGATCCAGAAAATGCAGAAGCCCATCTTGTGGCCAATAATGCAATTGGGAATTTGGAACATGCTAATTGTTGTAAATTATGTTATTTTTCGTCTTTGTTATTGCGTGATTTGCGTCCACGCCAGAATAATTATCAAATTTTATACAGTACAAAATGCTTAACTTCAGTTTTATCCCATTGAAGACTTTAATCTCAATTTTGTCTGCAAATATTTTTTCATTAAAAGCAATTTCTTTGTTATCTTAAATTTATTTAAATTACACACACCTATTCAACCTAATTGATTGTTTTTAGAGTTATTTATTAGTTGGAATTGAATTAAAAAAGTTCATATCCTGAGCTAAAAGATAATAAAGTTTTCAAAATAGGTGTATATTATATATTCCATATTGTGGATGTATATTGAATTTAAATTCTTAATCGATGTTAATTTTTTTAAAATAAATACTATAAATGCAATAATTTAATTAATTTCTTAAGGAAATGCTTGGTTGAAAAAAATAAGGATGCAAATAGTATATAATATAAAGTTTTAAAACAAATTGAAAGATGTTGATTCAGTATTTATTTTGCTTTTACATTTTTCATAAAAAAAAAAAAAAAACGCAATCAATAACTATATTTTAAACAAAAGCTGGCTTTCAATTGATTTGATTTAAGTAATGAATGATAAATATAGCTTATAATAAATATTTTTCGTTATTTAAAAAATTGAATTAGATTAGATAAACAAAGGCAGAAGAAGCCCATTGGCCATTGTAGCGAAAGAAATTTAATTTTTTGAAGGCCTGAAAAAACAGATAGCCCATTTGAAAATCTCTAGTATACTCTCTGCTGGCTCCTCCACTTTCTCCAAGATAACACGATCCCCCACTCCAAACGAAAATCCCCAAAATCCCAACAACCTTCATCATCAGCAACATCACCATCACCATCGCCATTACTAACAATGCCAGTCTTCAAAACCCCATTCAACGGCTATTCCGTCAAATTCAGCCCATTTCACGAATCTCGTCTCGCCGTCGCCACTGCCCAAAACTTTGGAATCCTCGGCAACGGCCGTCTCCACGTCCTCTCCTTACCTCCTGCTCCTGCTTCCCCACTCACCGAACTCATCTCCTTCGACACTGCTGATGGCGTCTACGACCTTGCCTGGTCTGAATCCCACGATTCTCTCTTAATCGCTGGTGTGGCTGATGGCTCCGTCAAGCTCTACGACACCGCTTTACCCCCAGCACAAAACCCACTTCGTTCCCTCCAGGAACACACGCGTGAAGTCCACTCCGTTGATTACAACCCCACGCGCCGCGATTCTTTTATTACCGCTTCCTGGGATGACACGATCAAATTGTGGACCCTTGACAGGCCGGCGAGTATTCGTACGTTTAAAGAACACGCTTATTGTGTTTATTCTGCTGCGTGGAACCCGAGGCATACGGATGTTTTTGCATCTGCTTCCGGCGATTGTACTGTGCGAATCTGGGATGTGCGTGAGCCGGGAAGTACGATGATTATTCCAGGTCACGATTTTGAGATTTTGTGTTGTGATTGGAATAAATATGACGATTGTATTATTGCTACTGCATCGGTAGATAAGAGCATTAGAGTTTGGGATGTAAGGAGTTTCAGAGCTCCAATTTCGGTTTTGAATGGACATGGGTACGCCGTTAGGAAAGTCAAGTTTTCGCCCCATCATAGGAATTTGATGGTTTCTTGTTCATATGATATGAGTGTTTGTATGTGGGATTTTATGGTGGAGGATGCATTGGTTGGGAGGTATGATCATCATACTGAGTTTGCTGTTGGAGTGGATATGAGTGTGCTTGTTGATGGGTTGATGGCAAGTACAGGGTGGGATGAGTTGGTTTATGTTTGGCAGCATGGGACGGATCCGAGAGCACCTTGACAAAGGGAAGTGTTTCATTTTTTTTTTTTTTTTGGTGGTAAACTTGTTCTTTGTTAGAGTTTTTGTATTTTCGAAGGAAAGTCTAATGGTTAGTAGTAAAACCATTAATGTGGAAGCTAGTTGTTGTAGTTGTTTATTTATCGATAGTTGCGAGATTTGTCTCCATGGATGACTTGTTGAATAATGTGCTGAACGACCCTGTATATTAGTTTTAATAACACGAAAGAGTATGTGTTCTTTTCTGCTTCTGTGAATTTTGAGAGTTGCGTCTTCTTTTACTTCTTTATACTCAATATACAATAAGGAATGTTTCACATAGTTTGGGTGTTAATTTTCTTTCTAGTAGGAACATATGGCTTGGTTTCTCTCATGCACAAGATGCAAAACTATGGTTTTCCTTTTATAATTGGTTTGATACATTTGAAAGTCTATTTTCTTATGTTTTGTGATGGACCGAACTTTTGCTGTTAATAAAGCATAACCATGGGACTTGATGTCTTTGGTGTACAGTTGAAATGAGTTGCATGTGAATTCATAAGGCTATTTATCTACCTCTATATTGTCGGGTATGTTGCCTGATTGAACAATCTATATGCATTAAATACTGGCACTTGGTTAGTCGACTTTTGGGTGGGCAGGGGGTTCGTGCTGGAACTCAATTCAATTGGTTCAAAAAATCCTCAATTCTGTTGTATTTTCAGTTTATGAAATGCTGTTACTAAGAGTACTAAAATCACTAAATGATTATTAGTAAATCCACACTTTTCCCGGATTGCTTCGTTAATTGAAATTGAAAGGATGAACTAAGTTTATTTAGTGGATTTGATTTTACTTTGCAATTTTTGATCTCCCTATCTCTTGTCCTGGAATAGCACCAATTTCTTTTTAATAAATATTTATTGGTACCATTCCTCTATTAGCAAGCCTATGTGTTCCATGTGCAGGTTTATACAGATTGCATGCGAGATCAGGTTTGATTTTGGGGTTTGAGAGAAGACAGTATGCTTTTGTCACCATATTCTTATGCTGAAGTTAGGGGTAAAGATTTGCATTTACCAGTGAGATTCTAACTCTTTGTGGTTATTTCTGTTTCATTGCTGATTGTTCATAAGAAAATGAGAAGAACGACGATGATGTTGGGATCAGGCCCCCTGTTATATTTAAGTTTGATTTCTTTTATATTGAAATTTGATTGTTAAATAGATTATTAGAGAGAGAGAGAGAGAGAGAGAGAGAGAGAGAGAATTGTCCCTGTACAAGGGGAAAGCCAACTTTTCACATTGTAGCTTCTAATCACTTGGGAAGACCTGTAGAGTAATCGGCAAACTTTTCCTGTTTGTCCCTAAGTTGACAACCTCAAGGATAGACGTTGAGTTGGTCTACAACAGGAACAATGCTATTTGGCTACCATAAGAAAAGCAGGCATTCTTTACAACTGTTAAGAATCAAGAGAAGAAGAAACATAACATGAAATTCAGATTAAGTTAGAAACCCATTATTTGTGTCTATGGAAATATAAAAGCATGTTTTATATGATAGAATAAGTTTTCTCTTTTAAAATTAAATGAACAAGTGAGCATATATAAGATTTTTCTATGTGGATGAAATCTGGCAAAATTAATGTGGTTGAAGTGGCATTTATTTCTAGTGATAACTGAGATTGGTGGTATTGTTGAATTATAGTAATAATTGGCATTTATCTCGGTAGAAGTTGGAAATGCCGTTTTGGTAGAAGTATATGTCTGATAATTCTATTGATGGATTTCTTTAACTGAGCTGAATGTAGTCAAGTAAAGCTGTTAAATTCCAAAAATTAGCTAATTGTGTAAAGTCTATCCATTTTAAATCATTTTGCTTTTTAGTTCCTTATCCATCACTGCTATCACTGTTGATGGTTTTTAGGTATTAGCAGCTGTTGGCGAGACCGTTTGTAGAAATAAGGATCGTATAATTGTGTTATAGTGCTGGGTTCTATGAAATACATGCAATTTTTGCAATTGCTTTTGTGCTGCAGGTAGTTAACTATTTTCCTAGGATGAGAAGTTGGTGAAGAAAACTGGGAAAGCTCTAAGCCACTTGGTAAAACTGGGAAACCTCTAAAGCCACTTGGTTTTCAACCCATAACCTACTTCCAGATTAAGCATTCTCCTGACCTTCTTTGGTTGGCTAGCCGATGGAGCCATCACAATTTAGTCATCCTGTTGAATTCATGCGAGGACCATATAGCTTAGAAGTTTTTGTGGTGACTCCCTCTCTCTCTCTCTCTCTCTCTCTCCCTGTATCTCTATCTCTATCTCTCTCCCTCTCTCTCTCCTTGTAAATTATATTATCTATCAACTTATTGAACTGAGAACAGGATTCTTGAAATTGTAGGTGAGTAGTCATTGCTTGGAATGCACTTTTAGATTCTTTGTTGTCATTTTAGGTTTGGCAAGTAATTTCTTGTTGCATGAATTTTGTGTGAGATTACATGTCATTTTGATCTAAGAAGTTCAAAAATAAAGCTGTCCGATTTTACCTGTTGGATTTAATAGGAAGGAATGCCAACAAAGCTACAAGCCTACAACTTATTGGTGATCTTCACCTACTTGACTTGTTCATTTAAAGGGCATCTGTAAAGCAACCAATGTGTGTATCAGTGAATTTTGGACTTTTTTAGGTGACTTGGGTTAGTAGTTCGAATCATAAGTTCACACAAGTACTAGTTTAGTTTCTGTTATTTCTCTCAACTGCTGTAGTACTTACTCTTAGGTTCCTCATAAACAGAAAGAGAAAGGATTTGTAGGTGCGTTGATGTAGTAAAGCCTTGATATTATTGAACTTTTATTGAGTTTGTTGAGAATTGTATTTAAATTTTGATGTATATGAAACTGAGGTCAATTAAGTATATCTTTGAGCAGTAGCTGGATTAGACTGCTGAAATTGTTTTGATTTAGTTGCTGGAACGAGACTTGTATCTGCAGGGAAAATGTAATAGAATTGATCGTGAGAAGGAAGAATATAGTGTTGAATTGTTATTGGTGAATCCTTCGAATCACAGATGTCGATGAATCCCAATCAATCCATTTCGTATCATTTTTAGTGATTTAGCTAACGATATTAAGTTAACGCACAATCAGGTGAAAAGTGTCATTTGACCATTAACCCTGTTAATTCTTTATTTCTTCTCACTTCCTATTGCTTAAACCATTTATAGAAATTATATATATAAAAAACAGAGCTGACAGAACAAATGTTTTGGAAAATTTAGCTTTTTAATTTGAAATTTTCTATTGATAGACAAAAATATGGAAAGGAAAAAAAATAATTGGGGGAAACGGTAAAAAATAATAAAATAATAATAATAAAAACTCTACATTGCCCTGCCTCGAAAATATGAGAGCCACAAAAAAAAAAAAAAAAAAAAAGGTAAATCGGGGGCTTAGTTTAAGTTCAGGACCATAGGGGTGTTTTAACCACTTAGCCCAGCCTTAAATACTTGCTATATTTACAATAACAACGGGTATAAGACAAAAGGAGGAGGATAAAGTGAGCCCATTTAGTGGGCAGAGAACACGGAAGCTTCAAAATACAAGAGTGACATTCAAATAGGGCTAAAACCAACTTTTTCATAGCAGACCAACCGGACACCAATGTTATGACGGACTGTATCATGGGCCCGAGTCTACACTCTATACAAATAACTTTACCGATAAGCTAAGAAAAATGAAATACCAACAAGTGGTAACATATTAATCATTTTCTACTAAAAAAAAAAACGAAATTATTGGTAACCTTAAGAAATTGCATCCATAATTAACATGAGAAAACAATAGGTCTGGGATTGCTTTATAATCGTTTGGTATTTTTGTAAGGATTTTTAAGAATAATGGAGGATGGTGGTGCCACAGTATCTATATCTATTTTTTCGTAAGTCAAGTTTTATGTTAGACGAAATTCATTATCAGGCTATTTAATTTGTAATTTGGATTCATGTGAAACTAAGAAAAATAATATTAATTAATATATAAAAAATTAATTAAAATACTTAATTAATTTTTAATAAAAAATCCAACATATACAGCATCGTTTTCGTTTCTGTATTTTATTATTATTATTATTATTATTATATCAGTAATCTTAAAAAAGTTGAATCGTTTTTGGTCTTGATCTAATAATAGTTTTGGTGATAGAAAATGACACTATATCTTTGACTTGTTTGGCATGTGACAAAAATGATAAACGAGCGATCCATCTACCCGTTTACTGCGATATTGACATGCGAGACTGGCAGCTATACCTGTTTTTATAAGAGATTTTGGCTCTAATCACCGATCCTAGTTGATCCACGACAGCTTAAAACTATTTTATTCAGAAGCTAGAAAATTTACTATAATTTGGGAACATACAATTTTTAAATTGAATCAGCTAATTTAAATGCGGCAGGATGACGTCGAAAACGCAGAATTCATTTGAGCTGCTATACGTGCAGCATTTAGAAGTCCTAATTAATCTAAGCTTTTGAAGAGAAGGTCAGATTCAATAAGATATCTGGGCCATAACAAGCTAGCCCCACTCATAAAAGAAATAAGATAGATTTGTATACCCAATAAATAGAAAAGAAAACGACGTCTATGGAGTTAGATTGACCAATTGATGTCTTGGGCTCTCAGCTTGTGCGCTACTCACTGGTCAAGGGATATGAATAGAAGATGATCACACACAGAATAGTTTGGTACTACAACAAAGATATTAACGATAACCTATTCCTTAGTTGCATTCATATTTTTAAATCCCATTTGGTTCAATTTTAACTACCAAAATACGCTTTACAGTTCCTGTGTTTTGATCAAAACTCAAAAAGTTTTTTTGGTCACTTACGAAATTCAGATTTTGTTCCCTCTTTCTTCAATTTTTAATGCGAAAGGGAGAAAATGAGAAATGATGACGTTTTGTTGAGCTGACTGGTAGGTTTGATCAGGCTATAGTTTTTCACCTTATACATTTTCCATATAAATTACAGTGCAGACAGATCAAAAAATTAATTTTGTCACAAATGGATTCCAGGAAACCCCAAATGGCTCTAATAATTTTCTTGCTTCTAGCTCTACTAACATGCTTGTCTTCTGGCCATCCTAGTGAGTACTCCATAGTTGGCAATGACTTTAATGAGCTTCTTTCAGAGGAAAGCACCATTGAAATCTTCCAACAATGGAGAGATAAGCACCGAAAGGAATACAAACATCCAGAAGAGGCAGAGAAGAGGGAGGGAAATTTTAAGAGGAACTTGGAATATATAATTGAGAAAAGTAGAAAGAAAACAACTATGGGGCATACGGTGGGTTTGAACAAGTTCGCTGATTTGAGCAATGAGGAGTTCAAGGAACTTTATTTGTCAAAGGTAAAGAAACCCATCAACAAAAGGAGCATTGCAGAAGACAGGAATCAGAGAAACTTGCAAACGTGCGAAGCACCTTCCAGCTTGGATTGGAGGAAGAAGGGAGTTGTTACTGCTGTTAAGGACCAAGGAGACTGTGGTAAGTTTCCTCCAATATGCTTTAACACTTTAGCAATTAACATTTACAAAAGCTTTGAGTGTTTAATAGTGATACGAATAATAACTAGGGATGGCAATTTGCCCTCCTCTCCTCGTCTCGTCTGAGGCAGAGATAATATTTAAAATTTCACTCCGAACAAGATACTGGACGAGGATGGAGTAAAATTTTTTAGGATGGAGTGGGGATAGGAACAGCTATCTCCATCTGACCATTTGGCTTCTAAAAATAATAATTTAACGAGATTTATCTCATCCTGTCCCGTTTGAAGTGAAGATGGGGATGGTATTTAAAATTTCGCCCCCAAACGAGACATGGCAGAAATGGGACGGAATTTTTTGGAACGCCCGTCCCCACCCCTGCCCCGCCATTACCATCCCTAATAATAACTTTTATATATATAAGGACATTGTTTGGTTAACTTAATGTTTTATGTCATTTCCTATTTAAGTGAACCAAACAAGGCCCTACAAAATACTATTCACTTTCCTTGTTTATATAATTATTTGTGCTATTCACATACAGGGATATAATCAGACATTGCAATTTACATAACAATTCTTTTACTCATAGTTTCTTCCAGTGTTCTATCCACTAGAACATAGAGCGGATAAAAAACTAACTAGTAGCGCCAAAATCAATAATAACTTTATGTAATTAGGGAAGATTTATAATAGGACATGCTGCTTTTATGATGCCAAAGGCATAGTGGTTTCCATCACTTTGATGGTGTATTAAAAACTTTTACTGCAAGCCTTTGATCTTGAAATGAATTTTCCAAAACAATTCGTAGAGATTAATTTCTACTATAATTGTAATTTGGAGAGTATTATTGGGTCTTGGTTGCATAATGAGATAGATGTAACTAATTCATTTCACTAATTATATCATGGCGTAATAGAATTATTAGGTGTTTATTTAGTTCCTCTCGTTTTTGGTGTATAGAATTTAATTGAAGTGAATTTACCATCTAAACTAGGTATTCAACACATGAATTTCAGTATTCAAATGCTAAAACTCTAGATACTATTCTATTTCTAGCAATTTTTAATTACAATGTTAGATTGAAAAACAAGAAACAAAGAAAACAGTAAAGTCATGCTAAGATTCCCCACATTCAATGTTATCTGATTCATGACTTGACATGCTTGTGTGAGAAAACAATAATGTGGTCTGGAAACGAAATGTTCACAGGAAGTTGTTGGTCATTCTCTACCACTGGAGCCATAGAAGCAATAAATGCCATTGTCACTGGTGACCTAATTAGCCTCTCAGAACAAGAGCTTGTGGATTGCGATAAAACCAATTATGGGTGCGAAGGAGGCTATATGGACTATGCTTTTGAATGGGTTATGGACAATGGTGGAATTGATACAGAAGCTAATTATCCTTATACAGGTGTTGATGGTACCTGCAACACAACCAAGGTTTGGTTCCTCTGTATTAATATAACCTCTTAATATTCACTTCTGCCCAATAGGTTAAGTTTACAAGAACATTTAATTTCGAAAATTTATCTTATTTGTCTCACTTATGGTGTTTCTGTTTGATTAGAAGGGAATAAAAGTTGTATCCATTGACGGGTATAAAGATGTAGATGAAACGGACAGCGCCCTCTTGTGTGCTGCTGTTCAGCAACCCATTAGTGTTGGTATCGATGGCTCTGCATTAGATTTCCAACTATACACTGGTGTAAGTATTTCTTCTCTTGTATACGTATTTGGAACTTTAAATTCTAGTGCAAAAGTGTGTTTGATAAAATTAGACTCTTGTGACTTGATCAGGGAATCTATGCTGGGAACTGCTCTGGTGATCCAGATGACATTGATCATGCTGTTTTGGTAGTTGGTTATGGTTCAGAAAATGATGAAGATTATTGGATAGTGAAGAATTCATGGGGCACAGAATGGGGATATGAAGGATATTTCTACATAAAGAGGAACACTGAATTACCATATGGTGTTTGTGCAATCAATGCAATGGCCTCATATCCAACAAAAGAATCTTCTGCACCGTCTCCAACCAGTCCACCATCGCCTTTTTTGCCGCCCCCGCCACCAACACCAGTGCCACCTCCCCCTGCCCTCAACCAAGTGATTGCGGTGACTTCTCGTACTGCCCGAGTGACGAGACTTGCTGTTGCATTCTTAAGGCCTTCGATTACTGCATTGTCTACGGTTGCTGCCCATATGAGAATGCTGTTTGCTGCGCCGACTCTGTGTACTGCTGTCCTGGTGATTACCCCATTTGTGATATCAAAGAAGGTCTCTGCCTCAAGGTAAGAAATTCTAATCCATCCAGCGTAAACGATAAATGTCAAGCAATCAATTCAAAGTCTCAAGTCACTAGTCCATATTCTATAAAACTTCATGGCATAAAAGAAATATGTTTTGCGAGAAATTTCACATGTGATGTGCCGGGTTTGTGACAGAGGCAAGGAGATTATCTGGGAGTGGCTGCAAGCAAGCGACATATGGCTAAGCACAAGTTTCCCTGGACTAAGTTAGAAGAAAAGGAGAAAACAAACCAACATTTTCTCCAGTGGAAGAGGAGCCCCTTGGCTGCAATTCTCTGAAAAAAGATGGAACAGAATTTATTTATGATCCCTGAAGCATTTGAAAGCCATCGTTACTCTTGCCACTATATCTTTTCCGTAGGCCGGCATTTGGCCATCCTGCCATGATCGTATGTTTTTATTCACAGTTATGCATGCAGCAGGTAAAAGCAGAACAAAGACGATACAGGGGAAATTAGGATTGGTTTTTCTTTTGATCCATTGGGACAGAAGTTTCATTTCTCATTACGACTTTACTTCGTTTTTACATGGCTTGAAGTTCTATTTTGAGCCATATTTATTGCTGTGTGTTTGTCAAATCGTACTTCATGTGGTTTAAATTTAGTACAAGTGGGCCTGCTTTGCGATTACTCTTTCCCCCAGTTTTTGTTTTTTTTTTTTAACAACCAGTCCAAACCAATGAATGGTTGGCTGTAAAACTCTAGGCAAGTGTGAAATAATGAATTTAAGCAACAGAAAGTCAGACAAGTCATGAGAATCCAACAGGTTTAAAAACTCGTACAGAAAGATTCGGTTCAATTGGCAAAACAGTGAGTGAGAACTTGGTTGATGTTTGCTTAAACGGCTAATTACATCCCTTGCATCAGTAGAAATTCTTTACGACTAATATGATTAATAAAGTCATTTTACAATGTATTCCGTTTACAGTTAGAATCTTCTACCTAAAATGACGTTAACAGTAAAATTTTTTACTCGTTAAATATGTGACGAGTGTCTACATACCCAATTTGACTCGATTTTCAATTTTCAACGCAAAAAATGACTTGAAAAGCTAAATTTTATTTTGAAAAATTTTAATATTCTGTTAAAATGTAGAAAATAAATACATATATTCATTTAGAGAATTAGAAAATACTCTTTATCAGTTCTCCAACTTATAACTAGTTTTCGAAAACGTGTTTTTTTTTTATGTTTTCCAAGTTTCTCCAATTAATTTTTTTTTTTTTACAGAAAACACGTGTTTCCAGCTTTTTTTTTTTTTTTTTTTGGAATAACAAACAAATCATTTCTTATTTTATTCAAATTTATAAAGTCACCATCATATATGTAATTTTCATTAATAAAAGAGTTTATTTCCCTTTTTTAAAAGATTTTTAAGAGATCCACAAGTCTATTAATAATCTCTCTTATTATACATTATCATCTGATTTATTTATATAGTGTTGATCAAAAAATGATTACATTACAAATGAACAATATCACTTGCTCATCCTTGTAATAAATTATATTAAAAGACATTACAGTTAATTAGTGTGATATTATAAGAAAAAAATCGTTAAAATAAATAATCATTTTTGTTAAAAGCTTACATATATATATATATATATTCTTTTCAATTTCCAAAACTTTGGAAAATAGAATTTATTTTTTGAGCCATTTTTTACTTTTAAGAAATTAAAAATTAGGTCAAATTGCGTGCCTTGACACATTTCGCATATTTAGTGAGTCGACAAATTACTAATAGTAAAGTTTTAGACGGAAGATCATAATTGTAAACAAAATAGATTGTAAAAGGATGTCATTAATCGTGTGAGTTGTAGAAGGATCCAACTAATCAAACGCCAAATAATCGAGGGACGTCGGTTTAATAAATCCTTTCCCTTAGCTCAAATTATATTGCTTTTCCAAATGAGAACAAGCTCAATCGTATTGGCGTGGATCATCGGTTCAAAAATGACCATGTAGTGCTAAATGGTTGAGGATCATAATTTGTGGAAGTATCTACGACTACGAGTGTTGGTTCACAAAATAATAATTTGTGAGTACAAATTAAATTGCTTGGCGCTGCAAAAAAGTAACCTCCTCGTTGATTAGTTACATTTTGTCCAATTCCTAACAACCGAAATATCCTCAGTACGTTCATATTATTTCTATCATTTCAGGTGTCATTTTGGTCACTTCAAAATGCAGATTTTGTTTTCCACTTTCTTCCCTTTCCCTTTTTAACACAAAGGGCGAAAATAAAGAAATGCAGAATTGGGTTGAGCTGACTGTTAGTTAGGCACTCTTCGCTCAGACTTCAGTTTTCCACCTTATATATATATATATATATCACAATGCAGATGATTCAAGAAGTCACTGGTAAACAAATTTCTTCAGAAAATGGATTCCCAGAAACCCCAGTTGACTCTTATCGTTTTTTTGCTTCTAGCTCCACTGACATGTCTCTCTTCCAGCCTTCCTAGCGAGTACTCCATAGTGAGTGCTAATGATCTTCCTGAGGGCCTTTCAGAGGAAGGCATCATTGGAATCTATCAACTATGGAAGAAGAAGCACCAAAAGGTGTACAAACATGCAGAAGAGGAAGAGAAGAGGCTCGGAAACTTCAAAAGGAACTTGAAATATATAATCGATCATGAGAAGAATGGGAAGAAAAAATCAGGTTTGGAGCATCAGGTGGGACTGAATAAGTTTGCTGATTTGAGCAATGAGGAGTTCAGGGAAATGTATTTGTCAAAGGTGAAAAAACCCATCAACAAAAAGAGAATTGGAAACAAGATGAGGCAGAGAAACTTGCAAACGTGCGATTCCCCTTCGAGCTTGGATTGGAGGACCAAGGGAGTTGTCACTCCCGTCAAGGACCAAGGCCAATGTGGTATTTCTCTGTGTTTCTTTAAATTAAGCATTTCTCTTACTTTATTTCAGCAAAATTTCCCTTTTCTCTTCAATTTTGAAGTCGGTCAATATCTTAACTCCCATATAAATTCAAAACATAAAGTTATTGATAATATACCCCAAGAGATTTGGTCCAGCAATAGTAAATTTGTTTTGGATTGATCAAAATTAAAGTTTAACTCTTATTATTTACGAATAATTAGCTATAATCGTTTTTTACTAGTTTTAATTGATTTGAGAGTTTTGTTTAAATTGAAATTACAAGTCGATTATATATTGAGTGATTTCAATTTATTGCATGTTACTAGCTCATATCTTTCTTAATTTAATGCATGTTACTATGTAAATTAAATAAATAAAAAGTAAATCGTTTTGTTTTTATAAATGATTTCGATATATATTTTTTTAAAAAAAAAGGTAAATTTGTATGCAAGACTATTCTTCTTGTTGTTATTTTTTATTTTATCTTACAAACTATTTATTATTGTCTTTTGATTTATTGATTCAAGAGGTTTTAGATTATACAATAGAGAATAATCCTTCCAATTACATTGTAATCGCAAAAACAAAAGTAAAATGACTCAAACTTTCCTGGAAACAATTTTTTTTTTTTTTTTTTTGAATTGTTATATAATTACTTGACCAAACCTCTGTCTATATTATTTATTATTTTAAAAAAATCTGTCATTAACTCTCTGTTGAACTTTATTTATAGTCTTATCATTTCAACTAACAAATTTATAAGTGCATATTTGTTTAATTACATAAAGAGATACACATAACCTTTCTTTCCTCTAAATTACTTGTACGTTAATATAATGTGGCTCAGGATTTATATGAGTTTAACCAACTAAACAAGCTGGCTAGAACCCAAAACAAAAAACATCTTAGCATAGAAACCTGATGATTGACAAAGGATAAATGGTATCCAGATCTTTATCCTTTTGCCTTTTTTAGAGCAAACTTTAAAATAGTCCTCCAACTATATAGGCAGTATTAATTTTATCCAAACGATTTTTGTATCAATTCCATTCTCAGAATTCAGAATTCCGATTAAAGATTGTCGTTTATTTTTACAGCTTTTCATTAATATTTCTATTTAAATTATATTTTTTAATTAAAAAAACGCCATTTTACAGTGAATGAACGTTTTCTATTAAATAATTGTAACGAAAGTCCTGATATAAAAAATCAAAATAGTTTAAAGAGTAAAATTGAAAAAAAGAAATAATTTGGTTATAAAGTTGATATTAGTTCACCAGTTTGGAGATATGTTTAAAGTTTTTTTTTTTTTATTTGTTTATTTGTTTCGGTAGATACATCCATTTTTTGTTTTGTTTTTTTTTTCTTTTAGTAAATGGTATAGAACTTTTTACCCTCCGTTCTTGGTTGACTGGTGGGTGCATACGTACTGCACAATGTAAATGTTTAATTTCCCGTTTTCCATATGCTGAGAAAGAGAAGAGGATTGATGTGGCTGGTTTACGGCCCCCTGTACATTTATCTTGACAATTCTGGAAGCATATTCTTACCTATCCTTTTTGTCTCCTTCTTCACAGATTCTTATCCAACGAAAGGGTGGTTTTTTTTGGGACACGTGCATATAAGATAATGATACCTTTTTCGTTTTGTGAAAACTATTCCGCATATTTCAGTAAAATATTTTTTTGTTTAGTTAACTTGAAATATATTTCATTTAAAAAATATATTTTTAACTCGTGAAATTGTAAAAAAAAATAATAATAATAAGACATACCATCAACTCGTTAGCTCTGACCAACTCCATTATGAGATTCTCCGACCACCGCCACCACTACAATCATAACTACCATCATATTGTTCATGTCCTCTGTTGTGTTTGGGTTTCCTTATAATATTAGAGATGGACAAGGTTGGTCTGTTTATCATTATGATTTACGAATGGTAATTTTTTTTAAAAAAAAAAAAGTGAATAACAATGGTTTAAACTCCAGAACATTAAAATTCAATCAAGGGTCACCATTATAAGATATTACATTGCTTCAATCTGGGGCCATGGTTTTCAATAAAAACTTCTCAATCTTAATTTCCCATTGATGGCTCCTCCGCCTCACTTGTAGAATTGTAGTTGTATGGAGTCGTTGTTTCTCACAACCTTTTTGCCTTTTACAAACGTGCATTGCATTCTCTGTTTTTGTTCACAGGAAGTTGTTGGTCATTCTCTACAACTGGGGCCATAGAAGCAATAAATGCCATAGTCACTGGAGACTTAATTAGCCTCTCAGAACAGGAACTTGTGGATTGTGATACAACCATTAATCATGGGTGTGAAGGAGGCAACATGGACTATGCATTTCAATGGGTTATAGGCAATGGTGGGATTGATACAGAAGCTGATTATCCTTATACAGGTGTTGATGGTACCTGCAACAAAGCCAAGGTTTGGTTTCTCTATATACTGACAACCCCTTCATGTTGATCGATAGTCAATAGCTTGCATTTTTAGCACATGAAAATATTCGCTTCTCTGTCTCATTTATGTTGCTTGTGATTAGGAGGAAAACAAAGTTGTATCCATTAATGGGTATACAGATGTAGATCCATCAGATAATGCCCTCCTGTGTGCTACTGTTCAGCAACCCGTTAGTGTTGGTATGGACGGTTCTTCATTAGATTTCCAACTATATACTGGAGTAAGTGTCTTGTTTTAACTAATACTATCAAACTTTTAAATTATATTATAAGGGTGTGTTTGATAAAATGATGGTACTGTTGTGACATGATCAGGGAATCTATGATGGTAACTGCTCTGGTGATCCAAATGCCATTGATCATGCTGTTTTGATAGTTGGTTATGGTTCAGAAAATGGTGAAGATTATTGGATAGTGAAGAATTCATGGGGCACATTTTGGGGAATGAAAGGTTATTTTTATATAAGAAGAAACACTAATAAACCTTATGGTGTTTGTGCAATCAACGCTGATGCCTCTTATCCCACAAAAGTACCTTCCCCACCATCACCGCCTTCACCACCATCGCCCCCTCCACCGCCACCAACACCAGTGCCACCTCCTCCCTGTCCTCAACCAAGTGACTGTGGAGACTTCTCCTTCTGTCCGAGTGATGAGACCTGTTGTTGCATTCTTAAGCTTTTTAGTTCCTGCGTAGTCTATGGTTGCTGCCCATATGAGAATGCTGTTTGCTGTGCTGAATCTACAAATTGCTGCCCTGGCGATTACCCCATTTGCGATGTCGATGCTGGGCTCTGTCTCAGGGTAAGATCTAAAAATCAAGCTATTAGTTCAAGTTCATAGTTTATAAAATTTTATGGCATAAAGGGCAGAGTTAATTGAACGATTTTCATCACTTTAACTATTTATGTGTGACAGAGCGAAGGAGATCGGCTTGGAGTGCCTGCGCGCAAGAGACATAGTGCTAACTACAAGTTTCCATGGACCAAGTTAGAGGAAACAAAGAAAACAACCCAACCTGCTCTCCAATGGAAGAGAACCCTTGGCTGCAATGCGCTGAAATATATGGAATAAAATTCGTGATCCCTCAGCGAAAGACATGTTGTCATTACTTTTAGCACTTCAATTTTCTCCTAGGCAGGCATTTGGTCATCCCTGCTATAAAACTTCAACGTCCTTCAAGCTATATAAAGCACAACGAATAAGATACAAGCGAAGTTGAGATTGGTACTTCTTTGAATCTATAGGGAGACAATAATTTTTATTTTTCCTTTCAGACTTTCGTTGTTTATTGCTGGCCTGTAACTCTTTTCAAGCCATTGTCAGAATTGTTGTGTTCAGTCCTTGTACTTACTTTCTGGGGTTTAAAATCTGTGGCCTGCTTTGCAATATCATTTTGTCTCAATTTGGAACAGCTGAATTAAAACCAATGGATCCTTGGCAGAAGATAACACATGCAATGCATTGTTGGGAAGCGTCTGTATCAAATAAATATGCATTACTCAGTGTTCCAAAATGAAATCTTCAGAGACATCACAAGTATCTTTTTAGTTACAAGACAAAGATCGTTGGCCTTTTCTTTTTGGCTCAAAGCCAGATAAGTTTGAATTTACTAGAGATAATTAGTATAGAACTAGCCCACTGAAATTATGTGTTGCATTTTTATTTTTTTACTAACTATTAAGAGGTGCAGCTTCCCTAGTAATACAACCTGGTGCCCGCTTCCGATTTCTTTCACTATACTGGCAGAAACAGAGTTTGGGACTTTTGTCTCAAAAGCTTAAAATCATGTAGGAAGAGATTTTTTGTTTCCATTTCGCAACTCATACAAAATTTTACCGGACCAGGTTGAAAAAGTAATCATCTACGACCACCCAGTTGAAGAAATGGCCCAAAATCAGAACAAATCCATAGGACCACAGAGAGAGGAGTTTTCAAATTTCCTCCTACTTGAATTTTAATCTCTTTGACGTTGTACAACATTTGACTGTAACATTTTGCATCCGTGGATGAATGTTTGATTTGGTGCATCAATGTCCTCCACTCGGCATTCAATGAGTAGCAGGAATTTGTACAACTCCCAATTTTTTGACGAACCTGTATGACTTGGTGGAAGTTAAACCCATCATAGGTAGAGCAACATCTGGCTTAAAGTTATAGATTGGGGACTGGCCTGTAAAGTATATTATGGTTTGAGATTAATTTGTAGTTATCTCTTATTTTAGGCAAGTTGGTCCCTAAACTTCTAAAATGGTAACAGATTTCACCCCTCCATTTCTATTTACTTTTTCCATTAAATTTGAAATTTATTTTCAGTGCCTATCTATAATCCAATTCTACCCACTATTTCTTTCTACTTCTAGCATTTTTAATGTTACTAGACATATTTTATATAATTAAATAAAAAATCATATAAATTTAAATACTCATACATCATATCTTCAATCGTGTCTATCAGGAAGATTTTGCCAACTTTAATTTCAACTAACATTAAAAGTGGATATAATTTCATTAAACCTTGGGAGAGTCATTTTTATTGGTATGTTTATTATACCTGCTTTGGATAACCGTCACTCAAATTTTATTTTGAATAATTGAATTATGATATATGGAAATACATGACTTATTGTTTCACACAGAAGATAATATGGTTTAGAGATCTAGTTTCATGCAATTCCCCAAAGTAAATATACTTATGCAAGTGGAGAGAGGAGAATCAAAACATAATTAAATTTTAGTCAATTTATTAGAGATGAAAAGACAAGGAATGCCTGAGACCTTATTTTCTAGTCTTCAGTATATTAAATTTTATGGCATAAAGGAAAAGGAGTTAATTGAAGGGTTTCTCATGAGGAATTCCTCCGTGTGTGCATATGTGACGGGGTCAAGCAGATCATCTGGGAGTGCCTCCGTACAAGCTGACATAGAATACAAATTTCCCTAGATCAATTCAGAGAATATATATATATATATATATATATATAGTTTCAGGATACACATTATATACTCTATTAATATCTACTAAAGCAATAAATATTGGTTAACATTTATTCGATGCAAACAACGACAATGGCTCTACCATTATAGCCCCAGGATTCTCCTTGATTTCTGCTAAGAGAAATGAACAAAATATATGGCAAAAAAAAAAAGAAAAGAAATGGGAGACCTTTTTTCTTCTGATCAATAAATTGGAAGAGTCCTGTTTTACTTTCACGTAGCTAGTGATAGTTAAATGTTTCTAACCCAATGGCTCAAAGGATTAATGGAAATTTTTGTTGTTCGTTTCTCGCAACTCATATATACAAAATATATGAGCCCAGCTGGATCAAAGTTATCATCCAATACCAAGTACACGAAGAGATGGCCCAAAATCACTTAACCCTGACAAAGCCCTCCCAAAGAGCGAGAGCAGATTTCCCCCTCCTTTTAATTCAATCTCTCTTTGAAATGGCACATCAGTTGATTGTGACATTTTGCAGCGTGAATGTTTTGGTCATATCAGTGTCCCCCACTACAAAGCGGCAGGACTTTCGTAACAAGAAAGCACATATTCTCTGGTGGAATGAAAGCCCTACTGAAGTTTTGGAACGTACGAAATGGACCATTTGTGTTGAGAGTGAGCTCGGACTGTTTATGCATATTACATGGCAGTTATGATGAAGCAGCCTTCACTGAATCCCTGTCACCGACTGCCTAGCTCCCGGAGCGACCGAACATACAATTTTGGTCAACTCTAATTTTATATTATAAATTCCAATTCTTTTTACCAAAAGCTAGAGCAACGTATTCTTTCATGTGATTTCCTTCTCTTTTTCCTTTTTTATTGTTCGGTGGGGTATTTTAATTAGTAGATGAGCGCTCAGTGAAATTGACTTGCGAGTCGAGAGTACTCTATATTAAGAACTCCAAAGAGGTGTCTTTTCCAAGAGTCCACATTTTCTGTTGCATCGTAGGTATAGCTACCCTGTAATAGATTCTGGGATTCAAATTTATCTACAATCTTGTCCATCAGTTTTCAGTTAGGTCTCCAAACTATTTATTTTCTTAATTGGGTCATCAATATATAATTGAGAGTTTTAATAGAAAACATTAATTTCTCTTCAAATGGTATCGTTTTATTCCATAAAATATGCATTTCCTTTATGGGGAGCATCATCGAATAGGAATTGAGGATATCCAATTGAAAATTTCTAATAAATTAAGCACCATAAATTAGACATTATCCGGTAACTAACACTTAACAATAAAAGTAATAAAACTAAGAATTTGAGGTGTTCACAATTCAATAACAATGAATTCTCTTTTGATGTAATACTATTCACCTACACACTATCAACTAATGGTATTATTGTGATTTAAAATTTTTCGTTAAACATTTAATATATTAGTTTTCATAAATTTTACACGTTGATCTCCGATATTTTCTTAGAAATTTTTATTTCAATTTTCAACTTTATTTACATAATGATTTCATTCCTAGAAGTAAAAAGAATGGAGAAAAAATAATAGAGAACAAAGGATAGAGCGTTGCGGCGATACACATTCCGACAACTTCAACAATTGATGTTGACTTCAATATGTTCATCTTAGTGAAAAGAGTTTATGTGAGGTGGTCTTAAGTCATAAAATAGTCGGGAAAAAAATTGATCGAGATCTCTAAATGCTTTTGAATTTTTAAATTTGACTTGAATCTTTGTGTTTTTTAAGTGCATTAAAATAAATTTTAAGGTTACAAAGGAGTTTCTTGAGTTTATTTCGATAAAATTGAGGTGTTTTGAAAAAAAATAATGCTAAAATTAAATTCGGAGGTTGGAAACTAGTATTCTCGATTTTTTAATGATTTTTTTGACAAATTTAAATTCAATAGAAGTTGCGGACATATGATACGTTGTCAATTACAAGGCATGAGCGATGCATCGTCCGTTTTTTTAATTTTAATTAATTGGCTTTTAATTGATATATTTGATCGTACCCATAGCATGACGTAAGTTATCAAATTGAAATAATTTTTATGAATCATTTTACATGTTTTATCGGATCCCGTAGGTTAATGCATCCAAAAAACTAGGTACTCGCTTAAATACTTGCAAGAGGGTTAAGGAAAGTGCGCTCCGGGGTCCAAAATGTGCTAAATCCTTGGTTACAAATTTTTTGATATTCCTTTATGCTAAGTGATGGGCTAGGTGATGATGGTTGTGTGCTACCGCATTCAATTGCAGTGTACCGTGTGAAAATGGTAGGGTTTAAGGTTGTCTTCTCTCCTTTCTAACAACCGATAATTTGATCTCTTTTTTATGGCTCGCTCTCAACGTGGCAACCATAAAAGATTACAAAGCCCAAGTAACATGCTTCATACAATTCCACAAAGGTATGTTGTATGTACTCGTTGTCCAACATAATTTATATATCCCTTTATATAAATATAGGAAATGACAATTGAACTTAAAGAATTTTATTAATTAATTTTTTTTAGCAATAAGAATGTTTTCAAATCGGTTTTCATATACTTCGAAACTAATCTTTCCTTGAGCATGGATAAAGAGCACTCACCAACTCATAGCTTCAGGTATTTTTAAAATAAATTCTTAGAAGTTTTGGCCACAAGAATTGAATTCTAAATTGGCCTACAAATCGACACTTGCTTACTAGCAAGCTACCTCCTAGTGTTTTTTTTTAAATTAATTTTAGAAAAACATAAATAAATCCAAGAAAACATGGATGATAGGTGAAAACACTAGAGAGACATCATGGAGAAGAAAGCGGTGGAAATAATATATCGATAGGGGTGTTCACTATTCGAGTTAAAACCGAAATACCGAACCGTACCGAAACCAAATTAACAACTCGATTCGATTTTTAAAAAAATTAAAAAAAAACTGAATCGAAAAACCAAAATTATTTCTGTTCGGTTTTGTTATTTTTTAAACACATTTGGTTTTCATCGAAAATCGAATTTTAAGCAAAGTTACAAAAGTAACAAAACCCTAAGTCCTACAATCCTTCTCTTTCACAGCATCCACTCGACACCAACTTTTAGCTCTTCTCTTTCACAAATTCATTTGACACCAGCTTTT